TTTTTTTCGACGAAGTTCATTGAAAATAATCTCCCCTTTTATATCCCTTAAACGTCGTTGTTTTATAGTAACAAAAATTATTTTTTAACAATTTAAATTTTTAACCTGTAACAATGTAATAAGCCAAAACCAAAAAAAAAAAATAAGGACTTGAGTTATTTACGCTTGAGATAAAGTGCATTTTACGAGCGGCGACCGTAATTTTTATCATCTCGTCGCAGCTCGGCGTCAAAATAACTTTCCCCACGGCACGTAAAATCGGGGGGCACATTCTATTTCGTTCCGGACGAGGAGGATCTCGTAAAAATTCGATATTAACTTTTTCGGACGTCTGGAACTAAAAGTAAAAGAAAAAGCGTCGTCAATCAATATCGAGAAAAAGAAACTTTAGATTTATGTATTGGTCGAAAATGAAATGAAAACTTAATGAATAAAGTAAATGATGTATGCAACAAATTTCGTAATGTGAAAACTGTACGAGAGATACGCGGATGAAAAGATTGCAAGAGATCGTATCTTTGGGCCCCCGAGAAAGCTAAAAATAGCCCAAGTTATTTTCGTGACATCCAAAGAGAGCAAAAAAATAACTTGAAACGCGAACGAGGATGCAAGCAGAAATTTTGCAAAAGAATTAATCTTAATCTCGAGATTCTTAATAAAATAAAATTTGATGTATGATTTGTTTGGTAATAAATCTTGAAAAAGATAAAAGAGTTGGTGCAGCAAAAATGTTTCTTATCTAGTTTTATCCCTGCATGATCGAAACTCGGACGTTGGTAGGGAAAAGTTCTTGAAAACGATCACCTCCCTCGGTTTATAGGAAAACGTTTCCTACATCACCAGCAAAGAGACAAGAACCGGATACCTGCTGCTCTTCTAGTTTTCAGTAAGATGAGAGATCACACAAACAAAGTTCGTATTTCTCTTCTCTGCAGGATTGCTTGTTTGCGAGTTTCCGAGATGTCTCGCTTAAATAGGAGACTCGGATAGGGACAAACAATGTTTGGGGAATTACTCTACACACAAGTACCGTGGAGAATAAATAGTTCGTTTTTACTTTTCAAGATAATATTATTTTTCAGTTATTTGCTTCTAAATCGATTTTTTATAAGAGAAATATCTTAACCTCAACATGTTCTTTAAAAATTGTTGGAACTATTGAGAGAAAGAAAGCAAGAATTGAGGCAAGAGGTTTTTCTCAGCAACCAGGGATAAATTTCTTGGAGACTTATTCCCCAGTTGTAAAAATGAAATCTATACGACTTATAGTATCATTAGCTGCTATACATAATATAGAAATTCATCAAATCGATATTACCACAGCATATTTAAACGGAACTTTAGATGAAGAGATATTTATGAGTTTACCAGACTGTTTTGAAAAGGGTTTAAATTATCTTATAACTATTGGTATTTGGATTGAAACAATCTAATTATGACAAATGTATATTTTATGCCAAAAAAGAAGAAGGAATGCTTTTAATATCCGTTTATGTTGATGATATTCTAAAATGCTGTAAAAATCAAGAAAAGATTAAACATCTTTTGGATTATCTTAGCACAAATTTAGAAATTAAGGATATGGGAAAAGCTTCTCCAAAGGCAATATATTAAAAGTTTATTGGAAAAATATAAAACGTCAGAGTATCTTCACCGATGATTAATGGTGCCAAACTGCAGAAATCAAATGGAATTTCTTCCAAACCATATAAAGAATTAATTGGTGCTTTATTATTTTTAGCAATAACTACAAGACCAGATATAGCACATTCTGTTAGTGTTTTGGCACAATTTAATGATTACCACAATAATGGAAGGGAACTCAAAATGTTGGATTAATATTTACAAGATAAGTTAAAAGGGTTTGTGGATGCTGATTGGGCTAATGATGTGATAGATAGGAAATCATCCTGTTCAGGTTATGTTTTTTCGTTGGGCGGAACTGCAATATCTTGGAAATCCAGGAAACAAAGAACGGTAGCTACATCATCTGCTGATGACAATTGGGATATTACGATCTCGTTGGTAGAACTTCGCAACTTCGAACTTAGCAAGAGTGCACAATTTATGATTAAAAATAATGAAAACTTACATAGTAGAACAAAACATATTGACATTCGGTATCATTTCACAAGAGATTTGGTAAATTCTAAATTATTAAATATTGAGTATATGCATACCAATAAAATGATAGCAGACATGTTAACCAAAGATCTATCACCAATTAAATTGAAGAATTGCTCAAGTGGAATGGGACATTCGATGTTGAGGATCAACATTGTAGCATTGTTGTAGTCATAAACAAGTTGTATTTATAAAAAGTGATCGTGAAGTATCTTAACCTCAACATGTTCAAAAAACATGACAGATTTTAAAAATTGTTGTCTCAAAAACTAAATCTTATTTTAAGCAGCGGTCTTTTTCATTAAAAGGCTTATTATACGTTTTATAATGGGTGATAATTTCATAATGATGTATTACAAAATGTAATTTGACGATTTTTTGAAAAATATTGTTAAAATTAAAAATTGATAAATGTAACGTCACCTTTAACAGTTTTTATCTCATATACTAATTGATATTTTCAAACGCGGTCTTTTTCATTAAAAAGCTGATACTTTTTTGCATATTTCCTGAAAATTTCATAACGATATTTTTAAAAATCGATTTTTTACGATTTTTTAAAAAGCAATTGAGAAGTATCTTAACCTCAACATGTTCAAAAAACATGACAAGTTTTAAAAATTGTTATCTCGAAAACTAAATCTTATTTTAAGAAACGGCCTTTTTCATTAAAAAGTTTATAATCCTTTTTATAATTGGTGATAATTTCAAAATGATTTATTAAAAAATGTATTTTTGACGATTTTCTGAAAAATATTGTTAAAAGTAAAAATTGATAAATGTAACGTCACCTTTAACAATTTTTATCTCAAATACTAATTGATATTTTCAAAAGCGGCCTTTTTTATTAAAGAGCTGATACTTTTTTGTATATTTCCTGAAAATTTCATAACGATATCATCAAAAATCGATTTTTTACGATTTTTTAAAAACTAATTGAGAAGTATCTTAACCTCAACTTGTTCAAAAAATATAACAGACTTCAAAAATTGTTATTTCAAAAACTAAATTTTATTTTAAAATGTGGTATTTTTTCTTAAAAAGCTTATAATCTGTTTTATAATTGGTGATAATTTCATAATGATTTATTAAAAAATGTATTTTTGACGATTTTTTGAAAAATATTGTTAAAAGTAAAAATTGATAAATGTAACGTCACCTTTAACAGTTTTTATCTCATATACTAATTGATATTTTCAAACGCGGTCTTTTTCATTAAAGAGCTGATACTTTTTTGCATATTTCCTGAAAATTTCATAACGATATCTTTAAAAATCGATTTTTTACGATTTTTTAAAAAGTGATGGAAAAGTATCTTAACCTCAACATGTTTCAAAAACATGTCAGATTTTAAAAATTGTTATCTCAAAAACTAAATCTTATTTTAAGAAGAGGTATTTTTCATTAAAAAGCTTATAATCCTTTTTATAATTGGTGATAATTTCATAATGATTTATTAAAAAATGTATTTTTGACGATTTTTTGAAAAAGATTGTTAAACGTAAAAATTGAAAAATGTAACATCGTCTTTAAACATATTTATCTCAAATACTAATTAATATTTTCAAACGCGGTCTTTTTCATTAAAAAGCTGATACTTTTTTATATATTTCCTGAAAATTTCATAACGATATCTTTAAAAATCGATTTTTTACGATTTTTTAAAAAGTGATCGAAAAGTATCTTAACCTCAACATGTTTCAAAAACATGTCAGATTTTAAAAATTGTTATCTCAAAAACTAAATCTTATTTTAAGAAGAGGTATTTTTCATTAAAAAGCTTATAATCCTTTTTATAATTGGTGATAATTTCATAATGATTTATTAAAAAATGTATTTTTGACGATTTTTTGAAAAAGATTGTTAAACGTAAAAATTGAAAAATGTAACATCGTCTTTAAACATATTTATCTCAAATACTAATTAATATTTTCAAACGCGGTCTTTTTCATTAAAAAGCTGATACTTTTTTATATATTTCCTGAAAATTTCATAACGATATCTTTAAAAATCGATTTTTTACGATTTTTTAAAAAGTGATCGAAAAGTATCTTAACCTCAACATGTTTCAAAAACATGTCAGATTTTAAAAATTGTTATCTCAAAAAGTAAATGTTATTATAAGAAGAGGTATTTTTCATTAAAAAGCTTATAATCCTTTTTATAATTGGTGATAATTTCATAACGATTTATTAAAAACTGTATTTGTGACGATTTTTTGAAAGATATTGTTAAAAGTAAAAAAAAATTTATCTCAAATGCTAATTGATATTTTCAAACGCGGTCTTTTTCATTAAAAAGTTAATACTTTTTTGTATATTTCCTGAAAATTTCATAACATTATACATAAGTACTGTGGAGAATAAATAGTTCATTTTTAGTTTTCAAGATAATATTTTTCAGTTGGTAAAGATTTATTTGATTCTAAATCCAACATATTTGCAATTCACGTCAATTATTTGTGATAGATGTGTGGGATACTCTAGTTCTGTCTCTATAAAGAGTATAAAGGATGCAATCGACTCTTATTGTACAAGTTTATAATAAAAAAAGAAATAACTAAAAGTAGTAATGTTTTAATATACATAAGAGAGGTTTGACCTCAATCAATAAATACGGTATCTTGGCGGGTTTGCGGTAACAGCTACATCAAGATAATAATTCAGGATTATCACAGCAGTAGTAAGTTGTCGCCGATGTACACACAGTTGTAACCGTTGTAATTATTTATAGGGAATACGCCAAAACAGGGTTGTAAATACGTCAAAGTAATGCCGATTTATTGATACGTAAATGGGTGGGTGGTCAAAAAAAAACTTATATGTTCTGGTTTAACTCATAAAATATTCATTTTACTAATCATAAAGATTTCTTAGAAAATGTAAATGAATGAAATGAAGTTACTGGAATGGCTAATTTCGAAGAACTGTCATCTGAAGACAGACCTAGAAGAAGTACGTTTTCTCGTTCACACTCTTTACCGCAATTATCACAACATGATTCCGGATTAGGAAGTTATTATGGGGTTGGTTTTTTGGGATTCGTAACAATTTTGTATTGGTAATTTTTTCAATTAGGGTTCTGGAGGTGATGTTATTCAAGTTAGTAGAGCGGAACGTTTAGTCGCCGATTTACGACAAATCCTCACGCTCAAACAACATTATTATCCGGAAGGGGGATGGGGATGGGTCGTTCTTATCGTTGGCGTTCTCGTTCATATTTTAAGTCAAGGTTTTCTTGCTTCTTACGGGTTATTTTCAACGGAAACTAATAGACATTTCCACGTTCCTTCAAATCAACTCACAGGTATCAATAATCTATTATACAATTTATAAATTTTGTTTTAAACATTTTTCTTTCAAATTTCCTTTTTTTGTTTCAGGATGGTTGGGTGCTGTTTCAACCGGTGTCGCTTTATTAATATCACCAGTTACGATTGCTTTTTGCAGAAGAAAATCAACGAGAGTTACAGCTGTAATGGGAGGATTAATTACTGCTTTGGGATGTCTTTTTACATCTTTCGCTACACAATTTCATCAATTATTTTTTAGGTAAATAATAATCTTTTTTTTTATGTGTAAAAGTACTATACAATATTATATCTATACATATAGCAGCGTCTCGGCCGCGAATGACCTTGACTTAACCTTCTCCTTTTGTGTCGTATTCTCATAACTAAGAAGTTGTGATTCCATGTTTATGAACATTCTTTTACTTTATTCCTCCATAAAAGGCGATCTTGTGCTTCTTGATCAATTTTTGCTTCTTGCTCAATTCTTCAATGTTGCATCTCCTTGCTTTGTTTTCCATTCATCACTTTTGAGATGCCAATACACCTTCCTTTAATTTGCTTTCTTTCATAGTTGCTGTCAGGGTGTCTCCCTTTGGGTATTTCTCAAAGTTTTATTGTTTAACATTCCAAAATAAATCATTTATTTTAATTTTATGTAATAAAATAAATTTACCCAATCTTGTTTTATAATAGTTATGGAACGGTTGTTGGAATTGGAGTTGGAATAACAAGAGATTGTTCAACTTTAATGGTAGCTCAATACTTCAAGAGAAAACGAGAATTCGTCGAAATTTTTATCGTTTCAGGAAGCGGATTGGGAATAGCGATTATGTCTGCTATAATAAAAACGACAATAAGGTAAATTAATCAAATTCTTTCAACAACCTTTACACATATTTTATTGAAATTTTAGTGCTTTAGGTTGGAGATTAGGTCTTCAAGTAGTAACGGGCGCAGTTTCCATAACGTTCATCTTGGGAACATTCTACCGATCGGCATCTTTATACCACCCCCAACGAAGGGCGATACTACACATAAAAAATCAAAAACGCAAAATTAAAGATAAAAACAAAATCGAAGATAAAATTCCATTCTTCGATTTTAGCACGTTAAAAAGCAAAACGGTCCGGATTTTATTGGTATCAACGGGAATTAGTGCTTTCGGTATAAACACGCCACTTTTTTATTTGGCTTATCAAGCGGAAGTTGAGGGACTCGGAGATTCGACGGTTTTCTTACAAATGTATTTAGGGATCGCTTGGACTGTTGGATGTGTTGTTTTTAGTACTTTAGTCCTTCACAATTCAACTGAATGTAGAATTGCGAGGCAATATCTTTGCCAAACTGCCGTTTTTATGTGCGGTTTATCAATTTTAGCTTTTACGGTTGTTAGTGGAAATTATCATGCTTATGTTATGTTTGCATGGATTTATGGTAAA